ATAGATAGATATGTATATGTATGTATATGTATATATACAGTATATATATACACAGTATATATATGTGTGTGTATATATATATAAATGTATGTATGTATGTATACACATGTATATACAACCCCATATCAGCAGAGAGGCAGGCTTTTCACCTGTGTGCTGTTAGCAGGTTGTATGGTCAATCTTTAGTAGAGCCTGATCCATGTATTTGTAGGGCCGATAATTTGGCCGATCTAGACACAATGCTGGGAACCAGTTAAGTGTACAATGTATCCAGCAGAGAACGCATGAAGACTACTTTCAAATCATGACCTTAAGTTTGACTTTCACATCTAGCACAGCCAAAGCAGTGAGTAGAGAGTGTAGCGTATTTTGCTGTAGAAAGAATGGTAAGTTTATTGTAACTGATCTGTAAAATATATATATATGTCAACAATAATAAATTATCTTCAATCCTCCAACCAGCTTGTCATTAGCTCTGTGCTTCTCAAGTTAGCGAGCTATTGTTAGTGTTTGATTGCACCGCCTTCATGACAAACTGTTGGAATATGCTTCCAGTTTGTGAGGATGGACATCCAGTATTAATAAGTTATCTTTGTCGTCCTCAGTGAAATGATCTGTTTGTCTGAAATCTTTAGTTCTCTACAAAGAAAATAAACTTTGCTACAGTCAGTACTAATTAGATCTTCACCATAAATGACTGACTGTTTAAACAATGAACAAGAAAGGACATTTATTTGTTTCATTTATATTTATGTAACACACTTGATAACTTTATGGTGAATAGTGGAATATTGAAAATGTGAATGCACATCAGGAAAACTGTTTTTATGAACAGTGCACCACTTGTAAATTTACTGTGGGACTAGGTATATATAGAATGGATCTGGTTTGTTTAGCATCATGGTTGCTAACATCTGCGCAAATTAAACAAGCCCTGCTCCACTCACTGTTTACATAAAAGAAAAAAAAAATGGAAAAGGGGCATTAGATTGCTGGGGGTTGACAAGTTAAAAACAATTTCAGCCAGCTATTATATTGTTTATTGCCATTCATCAGCTCCTCCCAATATTGGTGATAGTCAAAATTTCCTTATTGGTCAGGCTCTACATTTTAGTATGGACATGGTTTCTCTGGTATTTGAATATAACAATCATCTCAACCAGACTTGTCCTTTGTGCACAGGAATTTCTTCAGAGTCTTGAAATCTTATTCACAAATACATTAACTGTAAACACAAAGTTTGTTTTCTCAGTCATCCAGGTATATAACAACAAAAAAGGTTGAATCATGTCATCTGGACTTCGTTTTTTTTT